CCTCATTAAAGGTTTGCATTAAGATGCAGAACGCCTCAGTATTTCAATTTCATGTTTGTGTTACACACACACACACACACACACACACACACACACACACACACACACACACACACACACGCACGCACGCACGCTCGCACGCGCGCGTGCACACACACACACACACACATGCACGCATGCACGCACGCACGCGCGCGTGCACACACACACACACACACACACACACACACACACACACACACACACTACTGCCTGTACAAGTAGAGTATGTTTGTGTTTTTACATACAAAGAAGCAACTCCTTGGTTTGCTGTCTTTGTTCTTTTTCTTAATCCAAATCGAGTCAAGGTGGACCAAAAGAGGCAGCCGGTGCTGCTTTCACCTCAGAGTCTCCAGTCATCTAAAAAAACACCAAAAAGGTTTCAGCTGGCCCTTCGACTAGTCGTTAGCCCATCAGTCCTATAGGATGTAAACTATTTCTCAGAACTGAGACCTTTTAGGAAGCTCTTTACAACAGCAAATCTTTATAACATCGACACAGAAACAAAAACGTTAAAGCTCCACCTCGAGGATTTATAACGTGTTCCTGGTGAGCTGAGCTGCTTCTAACCGCTGGTCTGGTGGGAGATGGTGGAGACGTGAAGCAGATCTCACCTGCAGCCTGCCCCCCCCCCCCCCCCCCGCCCGTTTCCTGTAGAGGTGGAGGGAAGAGAGTAGTCGGCGGGAGACCTTTTAACTGCGGTGATTACCCGAGCCTAAGCTCCAGTTGTAATCATGTTAGTGCTTCCTGCTCTCTTTTCTCCAGAATGCCCCGTCCCCGCAGGAGGAGCACCGTGCCGTCGAGGTAACGGGCTAGACAAGACTTCACTTTTTCTCCTGCATTTATAATTGATTTAAGGTGGAACTGTTGCAGCTTTTCTTGTTTTCAGCTGACCCACAAATGCTTTTCTACAGTTGTTACCTTTACATCCTTTTGCACACGTTGTTTCAGTAAACACGTCGCAACTGGTTCCACTCTTTGTTGTTGAATGACTTACAGGAAGATTAACGGTTTGGAAAACTATTAGAGCTACTTTTACACTTTGACTGGATGTTTCATTTTTGTTGGTTTAAATCGTTTTTCTACCAACTTTCCAATCAAAACATATACTGTTCTTCTCCTTATTAGAGCTGCAAAAGCTGCACAGATATTTATAAACCATGTTTTTCTCACAAGTCAAAACTCAGAGATTCAAATCTGTTCTTCTGAGATGAAAGTCAGACATGTTTATTCTTTCCTTTATTGTAAACATCCAAGAAAAAAGAGTTGTTGTCATTTTTTTAATGAACAACATTTTGTTTCAAACTTAAGTACAAATTGTACACAACTTTTACAAAAACGGTACAGATATCTTTTATGGCAGAAAATAATATATAAAAATACAACAGGTACTTTTAGTGTGAGTTCAATGGAAGTGTGATGTTTATTTTCCATGAAAAAACTGAAACGTTACTTTAAGCAGCATTTTTTAAATAAACCCCTATATTTAAAACCATTTCAACCAATTTTAAATGATTTTAGCTAAAGTGTGTATGAGCCGTTGCTGAAGGTCCACAGACCCATGTGGCTCCAGATCCACTAGTTTCAGACCGCTGATTTAGATTAATGACTAATTAGGTCCGCATTGGTTTTTACTTTTGTGGAAAGCTGTAAAATAAAGTCTACAACTAGATGAGACTGAGATCATCCAGTTTACTGTAAACATGCGTGATATTCTTAGCTGATTTCAGCACCTGGACAGCTCCCCCTCCACTCTGCTCTCTGCAGAATCACCAAGCTGCTCAAATATTTTAACATGAGTAAATACTCACTAAAGAACACATGGATTTGTTTTTTATTCTTGTATTTAACTTAGTACGGGAAGCAGGAGGGATCAAAACTGTCAACAGCATCTTGATCCTCTAGTCGAGTTTAGAGGCTGATAAGTCAAAAGACACATGAGGCAGATAAATCTGATTTCATGTCTGTTGTTGGTCGAGATCTTAATGAAACTAAATGATTTCTGACATTTTAGCTTCTGGATTTGGCTGAAATGAGTTTTTCTCATTCATGACGGCTAAAGCTGATGAAGTTCTCCCATCTGAGACACAATAATGACGTTTGTCTTGACTTTTGTTGACGTTCTCCAACAGCTGATGTTGTTGAAGGTCTTCTCACAATTCTGACTTCAAGAGTTTCTGATCATAATCTCAGAATTCTGACTTTTCTTTCAGATTTCTGATTTTAATCTCAGAAGGTAAAATGTCAAAATTCTAAGATTAAAGTCAGAAATCTGAGAGAAGAACTCGGAAACTTTAATCTCAGATTTTTATCATTTTCTCAGAATTCTGACTTAATCTTATAATTCTAACCTTTTTTGATGAGGAGTCAAAATTCAGAGCATAAAGTCAGAATTTTGTTCAGTGTCCAACAATACTGTTGAACTTTAATACTTTACTTTAATTTCAGAATTTTAATTTTGTCTTTTTATCAGAAGTCTGAGTTCTGAGAAAAAAAGTAAAATTCTGAGCTTAAAGTCAGATTTACTTTTGTTCTGAATTATTGTCAGCGTCCCTCATCCTCTCCCACAGAGACTTGAGCTAAAGTGTGAATAAAATCTGAATAATCTGATGATAATACGGATTGTACATGTTTAGCTTCAGCATCATGAAAGAAAACATGTAAAAACAACTTTTATGTGTTTTCTATGCTGATCTTCTGAAGTAAAAGCAGTAAAGTTGTTTCGTCTGTTAAACATGTGAACGGGGAGGTGGGTTGTTGAGAGCAGCAGAGGCTGATGGAGTCAGACGGGAGGAGGAGGAGGCTCCCTCAGCACCAATAGGTCTGCTTTTGAGGTGTGTGTATGTGTGTGTGTGTGTGTGTGGGGGGGGGGGCTCGGATTAAGAGGCTGAAAAATGGTTAAAACGTGTCAACGTGTAATTGCATGATAAGGCCCCCTCGCGAGGAATCCGTTGGCCCCGTTGCTATTTTCTGTGGCGTCCCGGCTAATCTCCTCGTGCCACATTCAGTCTGCTGCAATCTGTCCCCCGTAATCTCCCCCGACAGGACCGGGTCCAACCACAGAGGTGAGGGCTTTTATAGGAGGAGAGGGAGGGAAATATGCCGAAGCGTGATAAACCAACGCCGATTATCCACGTTCAGGACATCAGGGGCGCACACAGGATGAGACGGGCAGGGGGCAGAGCACGGGTGTCCAAACTTGTGCCAGGGACAACACGAGGAGACAGCTGTGTCCCGGCTCACGTTGGAAGCAGCGAGGAGCAGTTTTCACCTCCCAGACTCATCAGTCCTCCTCTTAAACATCAGAGTTTGGAGTCAAAGCTGCTCCCAGATCAGCTGAGATGAATATTTATCACCAATGAGGAGGCATTAATCTGTAATCAGGTCAGATTAACCCGAAACAACAAAAACGTCCTGCAGGAACTCGGATAATTAGATTGTTCTTCATTTAGTTAATTTTCTTTCTAATAAAAATTACTTTAAATTAGGGATGATTTATAATCTGACAGCTGCATGAACATACAATCCTAAATTAATTTAAACTCAAACAAGTGCTGCATTAATGTGATTAAAACAGAAGAATTCAAATGATTCAGAATCATTTTATTAGTTTGAATCTTTATTTGTTTAGAGAAACATTTTTTATCTGAATCTTAACAAAATAAATGTTTTTATATTTTCTTTGTATTTCTAACTGAGACTTTTAGCTGAAATGCTTGAACAGTTTTTCTCTGAATCAGAAAAACGAATCAAATTATTCAAAAATACGTGAGATTTTATTAATTCGTGACTTTATTTAAACCTGCATAGAAATCTAAATGTGATTCATTTTACGTCTCTTTGAGCCTCATTTGTTGTTTCTGTCCGGCTTCAGGAAGAATTTTCTCATTAAATCTAAAAAAAAAAAAGACTAAATAGCATCAGATCAGGATTAAAGTTTTCTTATTGTCAGATTTGTTTTTATTATAAACATATTTGGAGGATTACAGTTTATTTAGGCTTCGTTTATTATTACAGGTGGGATTAATCAGAGATAATATTATTGATTATGGGCCTAATTCGGTCAGACATTAGAATAAAACCTGATTAATGGTTTATAATTGTGATCTCCTGCAGGCCGGGCAGCTGGAAGATTTTCCTCCTGTTACTAAAATAGAGTAAAATAAAAGAGTGAAAACAATTAAATGTAATTAATAAAAAGCAGCAGATTAGATCCTGTCAGCTTGTGTCTGAGCCGCCCTCGTGTGCTCAGGGTCAGACCCGAAAGGACCGGGGGGCTGTTTGTGGTGGGGGTGACTCTCGGGTCGCCCCGGCTCTCTACCAGGGCTTATCCCTATTCTCCCCCCACCCCTCACCCTCCTCACCCCTATTCATGCCCTGGGTGCCTCAACTGATTCAGCCATCAGGTTTAAAAGAAGGAAACAATTTAGCAGACACACACACACACACACACACGCAGGCACGCAGGCACACACACACGCACACACACACACACGAACGCACGCACGCACGCACGCACACACACACACACACACACACACACACACACACACACACACACACACAAAGAGTTTAGAGCAGGCCAGGTTAAAGTACCTTTACTTCAGTTTCAAAGGCCAGAGGTCACGACCCCACAGGTTGGAGAACTTTACTAAATTCAGGTTCAAGTTTAATAAAAATGATGCAAATAAAACAACAACATATATTTTTAAAAGTGACTCCATTAATAAAAATGTGAAAAATGCATAAAAAATAAATTAAACAAACTAAATAGATCATTTCTGTTGGATTTTAAATTATTACAGTAGAATAATATTTTGTTTCATTAAAGAAAATCCTCAAAACTTTATTCCAGATCAGAAAGCAAAGAATAATTCATGAAATATAAATAATAACCCAAGTAATCAAAATGTTCATATATTAATAATAATTTAGACAAAGCAGAGATCATTAAAAACGGGAAGGAAGAAATGTTTTTATTATGAATTAAATGTAATAATTTCGTTAGGAAATGTTGTCTTGTCTTAAAAATATTTTAAATAAAGGTAAACAATCAGATATTTTTGGGGAAATGCGCATAAATCTTATTTATAAGAGAAGATTTTTTAGAATTAGAATAAAATCTAAATAATAAAACATTAACCGTTTCCTCCGGGAAAAGCAGCTTCTGCAGATTCATAAACGCGGTTTTTATTCACAACTTTACAGGATTTTACAACAACAGGAACAAAAGGACAGCGACTCACATGGTTACAAGCATCAAACCGTTTAAATGTCCCTCCGCTGCTTCAATTTCACTCTTCACGCGCAGCGGGGCGGAAACGGACCTCCGGTTCTGTCGGGTCCGGGCTCCTGCAGCTAAACAAAAAGTCCGCCTCTGAGGAAACCGGTAGAAAAGTTTGGATCAAAGTGATGATTGCCTGTTTTAGCGCCTCTGGTTCGGTTAGATGTGCGTGAGCGGAACCGTCCCGTTCACCGGCGCCGCGCCGCCGCCGCTCTGGTAGTGCTGCGGGTGGAGGACGTGCAGTCTGCTCTGAACCACCGAGTCCGCCGCCGCCGCCTCACCGGGTGGCAGGTACATGCTGATCATGTCCCGCAGGTCTCCCGTGGGGCACGAGGGCGGTGCGCGCGCGGTGGAAACCGGGGGGCTCACGGTCGGCTCCGACTTCACAAGAGAGCCCAGAGTCCCCCCGATCGCCCCGGACACCGGGGAGACGCTGGTGCTTTGGTGCTGGTGGGTGTAGCCGGTGATGCCGCCATAGCCTGGCGGGGACGCGCTCATGTAGCTCTGAGAGTTTGAGATGGGGCTATAGGACAGCGCGCTCATGTCGTACCTGTGCACGGGCTGCGGGTTGTGCGGGTGGTGGTGCGGGTGATGGTGGGGGTGGTGTGGGTGAGCCCCGGTGCCCGGGTGTTGCGTGTAGGCCAGCTGCGCCTCCTGCATCATGGCGTGAGCCGCCGCCGCGGCGGCCGCCACCTGGCCTGAGTACGCACCGTTCGCCCAGCCGTTCATGTGCGTGGCGTAGCCCGCGCTGGCCCCGACATGGCCCCCTCCGGGACTCTCCAGCCGCTGGCCGCCTCCCATTCCCACACCCGCGGAGGAGCCCAGGAGCCCCCCGGCCAGGGAGTACTTGTCCTTCTTCAGCAGCGTCTTGGTCTTCCTCCGGGGCCGGTACTTGTAGTCCGGGTGCTCCTTCATGTGCATGGCCCGGAGCCGCTTGGCCTCGTCGATGAAGGGTCTCTTCTCCACCTCTGTCATCACCTTCCACTCCGCTCCCAGACGCTTGCTGATCTCGGAGTTGTGCATCTTCGGGTTCTCCTGAGCCATCTTCCGGCGCTGGCCCCGGGACCACACCATGAAGGCGTTCATGGGTCTCTTGATCCTCTCCGGGGGAATTTTGCCTCCGGGGCCCCCGCCTCCTCCTCCTGCGTGTCCCCCCGGGTTGGACGGGTTGGTCTGGGGTACCACGGGGGAATGCAAGTCCGTCTCCATCATGATGCTGTACATTAGTGGCACTGAGTGAGAGACATTCAGAGCAGCCAGGTGCGGTCCGGTCCAATAATCAGGATCCAATCCACTCACAGGTAAGACCCGCTCCGGTGCGCGCGTGCCCCCGTTCGCCTCCTCCGTCTCATCCACCGGGACCCGCGGCAGCGACCTGTTTGAGCTTCGCTTTGGCGCAACTGGGAAAAGTTGTGGGAGCGTGCCCGGGCCGCGCGCGCTGACAGCAGCTAAATGAACGCGAGACGGCCAATGGAGAGGCTCGAGCCCAGACGTGATTTGCATGCAGGGGCTCGAGCTTGTGGTGACGTCGGAGCGCGAGACCTAAAAATGCCCCCCCTCAGCTGGAAACGAGCGGAGGAGGCCAGAAGCGTCTCTGGGGAGAGGGTGCTCGCTGCAGAACTACAAAGGCGGAGCTGCACCATAAGGTGGAGCTGCACCAGAGTCAACCCCGCCCATTCACGCAAACTCAGCCTAGCCCACTGACTTCCGTTTTTGTTTTCAACTTTATCGCAAACTGACCTGACCCACATGAATTACGGCTGTTACTAGTTTACAGTCGTTAATGCTATGTTCTGTGCTCCAATTAAACAAGATAAATATAACTTGCTACATGACAAAGTCTGAATATATCCCGAAATAAAAAGGTTTCTCGTAGCGAATATCTGCCCACAGCCGCTCTAACAAAAGTCCTGTACAACAGCATGTACCCTTCCTGTGGGTTCTGGTAGTCCAGTGGCAAGATCGTCTGACTAACGTTTTGCTTTCCCCTCAGCTGATGCTGGTTCGATTCTCGGTGGGGTCGGCAACAATCTATTCAGCCAGCTGAAACATTTAATTTGTTCATATTTTAGTTGTAATGTTCATTTATAGCAAAATATTTATGTCTCTACAAGTTCTTTGAATTTGGTCGTTCCTAAACAGCATTTTAGTTGAAACTCTGCTCACAGATGGACTCACACTGGCTAAATAAACGAATGAATAAATAAAAAAAACACATTAGTCATTATATGTTAAACGGCATACCAATAAATTGTTGTAAACATAGTACTGGCAAGTGTAGCTAGAAATGAGGAAAAGAGATTATAGAATATTTCCACTGCTGGGAGGCGAACCTGCGCAAAACTGCATGTCAACCTGACACCATTACCACTACACCACCACATCTGATAAAAATCAGGTGGCGTTACATTTTATTATGTTATTTGGTGTGTCTTTGTAGATGGGATGTATGATTTTTCTGGCGGTGTCTCAGTAGAAGTCATTTCAGAAATAAATTGTCAGAAAATTCACAGAATATCCAGATTTGAGAACCAAGACCAGACCCACTTTGGGGGAGGAGACCAAATTGAAGCTGAGATGGGAAGAAAATGCATGAATGAGGCCAAAAATGGCTTTGGCGTGTTTCTTATGAGGAAATGACAATATAACATGATTAAAAGTTCCAAAAGTTAGATTTTTAATTATATGGAACCTTTACAAAAACTGTTCAATTAACTTCTCAACTCCCTCCTCAATCTTGCATTTTTTAGCTATAACACCCTCTTTGTTTCCAGAATGCTATCAAGTCTGACAACTGGAAGGAATTGGACTGACTCCGATAGGATGGGCGGGGCTGATTCTGGAATGGGCGGGGCTGACTCTGGTGCAGCTCCACCTTCTGGTGCAGCTCCGCCTTTGTGGTTCTGCAGCGAGCACCACTTGGTCTCTGGGAGGTTCAGATGGAAAACTCCGACAGGAAGAGCTGCGCGGAGAAAACATAAAACATGTTTCACTTCAATAAAAAAACAGCATAAAGATACTTTTTACTCCGTAAATTTACGCTTATTGTCTAAAATAAACATATATGAAATAAAAGATGAAACCAGCGCGGATGTGAGGAGATCACCTAAAAAAAACCTTTTCCTAAACGTGCTCCATCCTTTCAGAGCCACAGGTGCTTTTCTGTTGTGTCCGTTGCTAGGCAACAGCGGACTGACGCCCGCTGCCATTCAAAAAGCATCTTTTGTTTGTTTTATTAGCGCTGCCAGAAAAAAAGCAGAGAGAAAATCAGCAGCTTTACAATAAACGATAGCAAAATCTGATGATTTTATGGAGAAATAATATAATAAAAAGCTGCCGGAGGCCTGAAAAGGCCCAGAATCTCTCTACGGTTTGTTAACATCAGAAACGAGTACAAAACATTCATTCATTTAGTTTATTTTCTAAATGCTCGAAATGTCATGATTTAAACATTTTAATTGTTTTTCGAAATCTGAAAAAAAAATCCCATTTTTTTGGTTAAGTTAATCAAACCTAAAATGTTATTTAAAATAAAGTCAGAACAATATTTGTAACCATTTTTGACACGTGCAGCCCGTGAGCTGAGTGAAAAAGCAGGAATAGATCCGATGGAGAACACGTTGGGAATCCTGGATTATTCCCGTCCCGATTACAAGCTGCAGCTGCAGGTGCTGCCTGCCTCTCAGCGCTCCTGGCACGACCGGAGCGTTCTTCTCGTCTGTCTCAGTCGCTGAGGAGTGGTGCGGATCCGTCCCTCCATGTTTTCTTGAGTGACTCATGATGGTTGGGGTGAGAGCAGCCTGACCTTTGAGTGATGCTGAGCACCCCGTCACACCACAACTTTGCGAGTTTTATTATTGTTTTGTTCAGATCTGAAGATTTAAGCTGAAAAGGCCAATTTTCTTCTTGAGAATGAAAACTCTTCCATCTCAAGTCAAGTTAAAAGCCTAAAAATCTAATATTCCATTTTAGCATGAAGAAGGATTATTCAGCTGTTATTAAAATTCAATCACTTTTTGTTTTTTCTTCCACCAAAATGTGATTTCTTCACATACACCTCAAACACCACTGATGGAAGACATGGTGGAGGAGGTTTCTCTTTTTTTCTTTCCAGCTTTGAGATTTAAGTCAAAATGTTAAAAATAAAGTAAAAAAAAAACAATAAAAAAAAACAGTTGAATCATCAGAAAATATTTAGAATGAGTCAAAAGATGAAGACAACACAGTGGAAAATACCTACAATACCCATCATGCATTGTGTGAACAGAAACATTTATTAATAACGTATTTCAGCTTTTGCAACAGAACCGGACTTCTCGGAAGTTTATGCTGCAGCTGGAATTTTCCCAAATAATAACAAATATTTATGAACCTCAAATGTTTGATTTATGTGTTTTGATGCTTTTATTGTGAAAGGATAAAGGCCCACTGTTGCCCACTTCCCCGGGTGTTCTTAAAGGTGCAGTCTGAGATGTTTTTGCCATATTGATTGAAAGACCTGTCACATGATGGCAACCAATACAAATAAATACGTGTTTTCAATAAAAAACGTGATCACCTCTGAAATGTACCATCCTGGAAAAACTTCATTCAATCACCAGTTCTTAATGACTGGATCCTGATCCATCCATCACACATCTGACGCCCCTCCCTCTCTATGGCCCAATCCCAATACTCACACTTCCACCCTTTAATTGCTCAATCCCAACCAGGGGTGCGACGGCAGGGCAGGGCTACTTAAGTTCAGGCCTCGAGGGCTGGTATCCAGCACGTTTTTGTGATTTCCCTGCTTCAGCACACTAGTCCCCTGTGCTGCAGCTCATCAGGCTCTGCAGAAGCCTGTTAATCACCTGCTTATTGAAGCAGGGTTAAAACTAAAAAGTGCTGGATACCACCCCTCGAGGCCCAGAATGAAATAGCCCTGGCATAGGATGTCCCAATTCTCCAGTGCGGAAGGTGACCACGTCCTTTTTGCACCCTTGATCCGTACTCCACCCAAGTCTGCATCAATTGGTGAGGGGTATTACCCACAAGCCATTGCTGCAAGGAAAAAGGCTCAAGTGCCTTTTCTGAAAATATGTATTTTGTCAACATATTCTCATACCCTAAGCGTCGGAAACAAACGCTTGGTCAGCCACCCTCCACGTCAGACCCCAGATGCCAAAAGTGCCCTTTTTTGTTACTTATGTGCGAAAAGGGGTTTTTCCCTTTTGTAACTGCAGATCCCAATGCAGTGTAAAACTGACGTTATTAGATATCCGCTGATGCACCGAACCAGCTCATTTAACCGCACCTAAACCTTAACGTTTCACTATTTATAACCTTCCCCTCTCCCTCATCCTAACCGTAACCCTCTTGCTACCTAAAACGTTACTCTCACTGTGATCAAGCGTCTGTTTCCCATGCATTCTGACTCTGACAGTCAGAGTCTGACTGTCAATTTTCGTATTTGCCGCCCAAGGGGAACGTTAGAACATACCATCTGGCGAGGGGGAGGTTACACATACCCTCTACTTTTAACCTCCACCGTGGTAGTTGAAACCTCCCCCTCGCGTTGGCTCGGTCCAAACTCGACCAATGACGAGGCGGCTCCCGCCGTTCACTTCATAGAGCCGGCTTTTAGAGCAATCGACACATCACTAACGTGTTCGCTAGCAAGATGGTTAAGGTTAGGATAGGGGTGAGGGGAAGGTTAAATAACAAGAGGATAAGGTTAGGGTGAGGTACAATGAGCTTGTTTGGTGCCCTGGCTGCGGACATCCCATCACGTCAGTTTTACACTGCATTGGGGCCTGCAGTCAAATAAGGGAAAAACCCCTTTTTGCACATAAGCAACGAAAAAGGGCACTTTTGGCGTCAGGGGTCTGACGTGGAGGGTGGCTTACCAAGCGTTTGTTTTTGACGAGCTGGAAGTGAGAATGTCTTGCTTTTGTAATGAAATGAGTTCATTTTAGGACGATTAGTTGATGCTCTGAAACTTTTATCCAAAGCAGCAATAAATGAAAATTAATTTCAAAGGATTGTTTGGTTGTCTGTTTGAAAGTTGTTAATAAAGGTTTTTTAAAATTGCGTTGCGGTCGATACCACAATGCTCCCTGTCTCAATTCGGCCATATTGTGCACACTTGTGCACCGCACACTCGACGCCTCACTCATTTTCTCCAAGTGTGCTTTGCTGAAGGGCGCAGGGCGAATATTTTGATTGGGCCTACGTGCACGAATCCTGTGTTCGGAGCAGCTGAACAGTAAGTGAAGCCAGAACCAGGCTAGCTATGGCTAGCATGCTAAATCGTTATATGGTTATGTAGCCTAAAAGGAAGTAGCAGAGGGGTTCCAGTAAGAGCATGGAGGTAATTTTTGGGGGGGGGGGGGGGGGGGGGGGGCACATGTCCCCCCCACTTTCTCCAAAGTCAAGTCTTCACCCCTGCACTTTTTACCAATACTTTATATTAAATTTGCACTGGTTGAGCTCTAGGACCAAGCAGAAAACAACCATTTGTGTTGAAGTCTGTTTCCCATTAGAACATACTGTAAAGACCCCCCCCCCCCCCCCCACACACACACACACACACACACACATGTCCCCCCCACTTCTAAAGTGAAAATTACGTCCATGAGTAAGAGTAATAAGAGTCCAGTCCTCCTGCAGGATCTCCACATAGGTCCCAGTGGATGTTCCCTCCTAAACTTCCAGAAAGGACAGAGTCCGGAGAACTCCTGACTGGCACCGGACGGTGAGGAGTCCATCAGAAGCCCGGAGACTCCCCGGCTGTTACATAGCAGCATCACGGTAGGAATTATAGCAGAAAAGGTGCCCACAACAAGTCAAAATGGTCAGATAACGCTGCGTTTTCAGGGTCGTTTGACAGCATCTGTTGCATACGAAAATGTTCTGAAATCTGGAGGTGTGGCCTTGTGGGAGGAGCCAGAAGAAAAGGGGTTGGACCTTAGAATTGTGTTTTTTCCAAATGAAGTTTCATAAAACACTTTTTGCAGAAACATCCACTGAACATTTAATTATTTAAGCCTTTTCCTAAAACTGAAACGCAAAAAAGTGTCCATTTATTCGTCCAGATTGTAAGAAAATAAAAAAGTTAAAATTTCTCCTGATTGTTTGAATCAAAGTTATTTCAGGTTTCAGACGAACTTCTGATTAATGTCTAGCTTTTCCGGGCTTTTCTAAAACCTTCTCAACGATGAGTGTTTTGCACAGCTCACCTGCTGCTTCTTCTGTTTATGAGTGAGATTTAAGATTATAATTGATCCAGATTATCTGACTGGGATTTTATAGAATAAACAAGGCTGGTTATTGAAAAGACTTCACGTTTGAGCAAAAATTTGTTTCATTTAAAACAAAGCAGCTTTTTGTCTGTTGGATGTAGACTGGAGAGGAGACCAAGCCTCGCAGGACGTCTGTGGTTCGGGATAAACGAGGAACATTCCCAATCCCGTCGCCCTGGATCAGCTGTCTGGGAAGAAAACAGATTACAAGTAGAAATGAGTTCAGTGTTCTTTATAGTCAAATGAAATCATAATTCCTCTTCTCCTCCTATCTCCACCAACCCGAAGAGAAGCTTTCTTTGAACTAAATATTTTAGAGGCTTTTCAGAGCGAGAGAGAACTCAGCCATGAGAGCAGGAAGTGCTTTTCAGCAGGTGACAGCGGGTTGTAGAAAAACCCAGAGCTCTGTTGTGAAGGCAGCAGGTGGACCAGCAGGATGCTGCTGGAAACGCTGCCTGCTGGGGTGATGGAGTTCTGCACTCAGGACTGGAACACTTACTCAGCTTTTATTTTAAGCAGACATTATTTTTAGTGTTTGATCTGATCTGAATTCTATGTCTGCTTTTATTTTGTTGTATTTGTTAGTAAATTCAGTTGAACTTCTCACTAGAACGTGTTAAATTCATTCACCAGGAACTCTGCTTTGTTTTACTGCTGGCCGCTGACAGAAGTCTGTCCTCACCTGCTGATACGATTTGACCTGTTTTAGGCAAGCCCCCATAATTCGGGTCTGGAAATGAAGCAAAACAGGAAGTAACAAAAATTGCAGTTCCACCCTCATCCGCTGGGGGCTGGTGTCAGAAGCGAGCAAATCCTCATTGACTCCCATGTTAAACATACCAATTTCACAGCAGAAATAAACATCTAAAGTACACTTTTCTCCGAGTGAGGACGAAGACGTCTCAGGTGCCAACAATCAAGCTAACTCTACAGGTGATGCTAGCCCTGGGAGTCTCTTAGACGTGAGTACTGGAATGGCCCAGAATTTGGATGCTATTCAAATACTCGGCGGGATCAGAAGTGACTTTTCCACAAAAATTGGTGTGGTCCTGACGGCGATTCAAGACGTTAAAAGGGACGTGCAGGACTTCTCGATGCGCATGGATGGGGCAGAGAAGCGCATCAGCAATGTGGAGGATAATGGTAATTCAGAGAAAGGCAAGACAGAGGTGCTAGTTAAACAAGTGGCTCTCCTCACGAACAAACTCTAGGACCTTGAAAACCGTTCTCGCTGATCCAACCTACGACTAGTTTATGTGCCGGAGAAAATAGAAGGAAACGACGCGGTGGCTTTTCTGGAGAAGTGGCTCCCCGAAGTGCTGGGACCAGCGACATTCCCGAGACAACCTCTCATTGAAAGAGCTCAGCGGTTGCCGGGCCGGACGCAACCCAATCGACCACCCACACCGAGAGTCCTCATCGTGAAGTTTTTAAACTTCCAGGATAGAGTTCGGGTGATGCGAGCGGCTAGTACCAAAGGGAAAGTTATCTGTGGGGGCCAAGAGGTCATGTTCTTCCTGGATCTTTCCACAGATCTTCACCGACGAAGGAGGGGTTTTGACCGGGTAAAACAGCAGCTGAGGTCGATGAACATTCGATACGGATTAATCTACCCGGCGAAGCTTCGTGTGTCAACTGATGAACATACTCATGTCTTTGAGACCCCAGCAGATGCGGAAAAATTCATCAAAGGTTTGCAGAACACAGCGATATAATGGATTATCTATGGGAACTGTCGATCCTTTAACTATCTGCCCATAACAACTGTAGTTTGAACCCTTGGCTGACATTTCCTCTGGAGAGATCTTTAATCTCAGTCTCTGTATTCACCCTCAGTGCTCGTAATTTATAGACTTTTCAGTCCATTTGGGCCTCTGTAAAACCAAGAAGCTGTGGACACACACACACACACACACACACACACACACACACACACACACACACACACACACACACACACACACACACACACACACACACACACACACACACACACACACACGCACACACACACACACGGATCTAATCTAATCAAAGGCATTTCTCCTGGGCAGCAGCCGACAGTGCGTTTGTTTAAAGCTCTCTGTCACAGCAAGCTGTCAGCTCTACTGGAGCTCAGCAGCGCTCTCTCTCACTCACTCACTCACTCACACACACACACATACATACACACACACACACACACACAAACACACACACACACACACACACACACACACACACACACACACACACACACACACACACACACACACACCTGAAAGGTGGTTAGAAAAACACTTGTCAGGCACACATAACCCAAACCAGGATGTTATTAGAGAGCTCTCTGCAGAAATTATGATTAAAAACAAACGACCCGCTCTGGTAAAGTGCTTTTCAGAGTCAGAGGACCCCAAAGCACTTTACACTACAGTGTATCATTCATCCATTCACACACACATTTACACGCTGATGGTGATGAGCTACGATGTAGCTACAGCTGCCCTGGGGCGCACTGGCAGAGGCGCCACCGGTCCTTCCGACCACCACCAGCGCGAGGGGGGTAAAGTGTCTTGCCCGAGGACACAACAGCAGAATTCTCTTTCCGGAGCCGGGATCGAACCTTTAACCTACTGGACAACCCTCTCTATCTCCCTCCTGCTGCTGAGATCTGCTATTGGAGCCTTTTATAAATCACTATCCACCCAGAAGTCACCTGATTGCTTCTATTTAAACACAATATCCTGTAAAACGTCATAAGAGGGTTTTAACTAACTCACTTAAATTAGGATTACTATTTTTTTTACTAATCTACTATTTGCTTTAAACTACAGTCTAATCCAACATAGAGCTGCACCTTTGAACGTTTCTGCATCAACATCAGAATGAACGTGTGTGCAGTGGTGACATCAAAGTTCCTGCTG